AATACTAAGCCATAATAAAAGTTAGAGCAATATTCTCATGCCTTTAAGACATCTCAAAATAGAACTACCACATGCTTTGAGTGAAAGTGGATGAAAGCTTCATAATATATATACTAACATGCTCATGAGAAGGGCCAAATTATTTCAAAACCATCCTCTAAATTACTTCCAATATAAAATGCTTTGGGAGATGGGAAACATGTCATAACTTCAGCACTTTAGATAAGCAAAGTAAAAGAAATGACTAATAGCATGCCACATTGCTTAACCAAACCTAACTTCTAGCACCACACCATAAGATCATCATCAGAGGCTCGGCAAGGCCATAACCGAGAGCCAGTAAAGCACAGAGAAAGGGAGGGAGAAGGAAATACACACCCTCAAGCTTTTAAATGTCATTCCCACATAACAAATGTATAAAGAATAAGTTAGAACATGTTTAGGAATGAGGCAAATAGTAATCATGTTTAGGAATGAGTCAAATAGTAATCTTCCTATTCTAACTTGCTAATAGAGCTCGGCAGAGAACAGGGACGAACACAAATAAAGCGCAGGGGCTCGGTAAAGAGCAGGGCCGAACACAGGCAACGCACAGGGGGAGAGGGAAGTACCTCCTTAAAGTAGAATCACAAAAGGAGTTGCAGAAAAGTATTCCCTAGCCAACCCCTTTCTCCAGCAACACGAGAGTTCAAAAAAAAAAAAAAAACTTAAGAGAGTGAGTAGAGAAGAGTCCTCATCATCAGAGTCCTCCCCAGAAAATGATTTTCGGCCACTTGAAGCTTCACAGAGGAGCTATGATATATGCTAAGGGAAGAAGAAGGCAAATGATTGAAAAAATCCCGCAGAGATCGAGCGCAGAGGTGCGCCATGCCGTTTGCGGCACGAGGAGCCAGCAAATGATGAGGAGGAATGGGCAACTGCGAGAGAGCGGATCGCGGGAACCTTCGTTCCAACGGCTCGAGTTTGTGGGGTCACGCGAGCGACCACAGAGACCAGAGCAGAGACGAAAGAGGGACGGACGCACGTGAGAGACGGAAAACGGGAGGGGAAATGAAATTAGGGTAGGTTTATAAGTTTTATTTATAATAATAAAATATTATTTATTATTATAAATAATACTTAAACACATCTCCTTCTCCAGAAATGCCCTCACAACGAAACAAACGTCTCTCCTAAGCAAAATCGATGTCCCGGACGTGTCGGTGCAGTCTGTTTCGTCATCCAGAGTCATCTGGGCAACCCCGTCGTCGATCGGGTTAAAAACGCGTCGCGGTCCAAATCCTATCAAGATTTCGGCTCGAACTTGGTTAAACAGGACGGCGCAGAACGGCGAAGAACGCAGCGACGCCAAATCAACGAGTTGAATCAATCCTAAGGTCGGCAGTCCTATAGGAATGCTCCCTGAGTTCCTTCGGAGTAGCCTTACCTGCTAAGCAATAGCAGTCAAGACTACTACATGGAACGTCAAGTCGAGGGAAGAAAAGTCCAGAATTGCTAACGGGGAGGGGCTCCTTCACTAGTTTTCTAGGAGTAGTCGACAGAAAGGTCCTACGGCTAGATCTTAGGCTACTAAGGAGGGGAAAACTACACCTCGACCGAAAGCGAGGTCAACAAGCATACAAGATTAGAGCAAGTCGTCTTAGATATTTTGGTCACATTAAACGTCAACCATCTTATGATCTGGCTAGGAGAGTGGATGTTTTAGATTCGTCTTATGTTAGAAAAGGCAGAGGTAGACCTAAAAAAGGACTTGGGCATATTGTATAAAAAATGATCATAATTCATTAAAATTAAATGAAAATATGACACTCAATAGGACACAATGGAGAAAAAGGATTCATGTAGTTGAGACAAAGGCTTGTTGTTGTTGTTGTAGAAATCAAAGATAAATACAAAATTTTGAATAACATTTGTGAGCCTATCCATAACCAATAAAATGATACAAACTCAACAAAATCAGATGGGCAACAGCCAGTTCATAAGACTAATTACTAAAAACATAATTATTTAACCATCTAGAGGCAACAAAACTGGAGTAAAAATAACTGTGGATCAAATGTCATTATGTAATTTAATGAATAATTCCGATAGAATTTTTAAATATTTTGGAAAGACAGCTATGAAACTGATGTAAAATTTGTAAATATTCACAATACTTAATAATCATTTAATAATCATTTATAGGTAAAATCACCACAAACTGTTTTAAGATTTATTAGCACCTTGTAATTCCAAGAAAGAATTTAAAAAGTAAGAAAAAAATTTGGATGCATTTTTTATAACTTTAGCGGCCATTAAATTTAAGCGATACTTTTTTATTCCCTTGGTGTAATACTTTTAAATATCATGTGTTCGTAAAAATTGAAATTTTATTTTTAAATTGAAATCAAATTGACAGTCTTTAATTCTTTTTTTTTTTTTGGAGAGATTTGTGATTATCTAATTGTTCCATGGTTAGGCCGCCTAAATGAAAACCCCTTCTTTTAGTTTCTATGATCTATTTCTATAATTTAATTGTATATATTCATCTCAAGTGATATAGAACTTCTGTTTATAATTCCAACACACATTTCCCCTTATTTAATTTTTCCATGGTTAGGTGACCAAAACCAGCCCCTTCATTTAGTTTCTAGAATTTACTTTTATATATTCCTCTCTAGTGATATTGGACATACTTCCCCTTATATCTTCATAAGTAAAACCAACTAAACTTTTTATATTCACCCAAATCCAACCACTAAACCTCCCTTTCACTCCACTCATCAAAACTTTGAAGCAACAACAACCCCTAACGACTCATAAATTATCTTCCGAACAATCAAAATTTTTAATGAAATAGCTACAACCATCATATCTCCATCCCCTATCATTTCATAGATCACCTAAACCCATCAAATCTGCATACCTAACCCCCCTCTTAAACTTCACATAAAATCAACCTCCTGAACAAATTTGCAAACAAACATCCTTTCCCTAAATTTATGGCCACCCTTACAAGCCACGTTCCCCAAGTGCACCATAAAGCTGCTATTATTTTGTATAAAAGAACGTACAAAAAGCCAAAAATTCTCATCTAGCCTAAATGTGTGACTAGAATACACATTCCAGGATCGAGAAATATAACAGAGAAAGAAACACAGGTAAAAAAAGGTTTTTTTTTTTTCTTTTAATGTAATAAAAATAAACAACTAAAAATGTCAAATAAGGTTCGAGATAGCAAGTTTCCAGCAGGTCAAAGAACTAATAAAATCAAGTCAAAAACGATGCTCACCCAAGTCTTCAGCCATGATGCGGAAAGCCTCCTATCCAAGAAAATTTCCTAAATGACATTATTAAATAAGTTAAACAGACAAAATTAGGCCAGATGTGGAGCTTAAAGGAATTAATCAACTCCTTTCAGAAACCAACTAGAACAGTATTCCCAAATATTTGTAGAAGATTATCATATGCAGGATTCAAAACACACGTAAAATATTCCACTTGAGTGCAACTACACGGCACTAACATAATTGCCTTCCATCAGCAATAAGTTTGAACAGTCAAATTGAACTATTCATATCATTTCTGAAACTCAAAATCATTCAACAGCAAATCTACATAAGCAGAACATTTATGCATAATTCTTTTAAGAATTTTAATCTTCTCGATGAAATAGAAACATAAATAGAAAATTCTTGTGAACAACTCAAAACATAAGCAAAATCAAATGTTAAATTCACAAGCTGAAAAATCAGAATCTGAGGGTTTCTCCCTTAATCCTATTAAATAGAAGGTTGCTCGTCGATTGACATGCTAAATAAGAGATATTGACCTTTCGATTTGCTAAACTTTCTAAACTCCAAGGAATAAATGATCACGTTTAAATACAAGCAAAATTAGAATCTGAAGTTACATTTTTTGCAATCCAAGAAATAGTAACATGTTAAATGTAGACTATGAACCAAAAATAATCTAAATAGACCAACTAGCAACTTAGCCAATTCAAAAAGCATCAATCCAAGGAAAAAAAAAAGCTTCCAAACAAATTCAATCGATGCAAAATATCACAATCTCGAGCACAAGTCCAAGTGGAAGCATTCCCATTTTAAATTCAAACGGCATGAGCACCCTTATACCACCGCACCTAATATCACACATCACAGATGAAACAAACCAAAATAAGAAGAACTATAAGCAAGATGCATCATATTCATTTATTAGATAACCTGAATATTGAAAGCAGTGCTAAACTAGATAAGAAAAACATAGAGAATGGAAACATTGAGTTGACAAGGAACCACATTTCAACAGCCAGGGAGGCAACAGGAAGTCAATAAAAACAACCACTAGATACCAAATACATCAGCACTAGCATAGCATGATAAAGACTGGAAGCAAACGGTCACCGGTCACTGACCACCACGGAGACGGAGGACGAGGTGGAGGGTGGATTCCTTCTGAATGTTGTAATCCGCAAGGGTGCGGCCATCCTCAAGCTGTTTTCCAGCGAAGATGAGCCTCTGCTGATCTGGCGGTATCCCCTCTTTGTCCTGAATCTTTGCCTTCACGTTATCAATTGTGTCTGAACTCTCCACCTCAAGAGTGATAGTTTTCCCAGTAAGTGTTTTCACAAATATCTGCATACCACCACGAAGGCGGAGCACCAGGTGAAGAGTAGATTCCTTCTGAATATTGTAGTCTGCCAGGGTGCGGCCATCCTCCAGTTGCTTGCCAGCAAAGATCAGCCGTTGCTGGTCTGGAGGGATGCCCTCCTTGTCCTGGATTTTGGCTTTCACGTTATCAATAGTATCAGAGCTCTCCACCTCAAGGGTGATAGTTTTCCCCGTAAGTGTCTTCACAAATATCTGCATACCACCCCTAAGACGAAGCACGAGATGTAGGGTAGATTCCTTCTGGATGTTATAATCAGCAAGGGTACGGCCATCCTCAAGCTGTTTTCCAGCAAATATCAGCCTTTGCTGGTCCGGGGGAATGCCCTCCTTGTCCTGGATTTTAGCCTTCACGTTGTCTATAGTGTCAGAGCTCTCCACCTCAAGGGTGATGGTCTTTCCAGTAAGGGTCTTGACAAATATCTGCATCCCACCCCTGAGGCGGAGAACAAGGTGAAGGGTGGACTCCTTTTGAATATTATAATCAGCAAGGGTTCGGCCATCCTCGAGTTGCTTGCCGGCAAAGATCAGCCTCTGCTGATCCGGGGGAATGCCCTCCTTATCTTGGATCTTAGCCTTTACGTTGTCGATGGTGTCAGAGCTCTCCACCTCGAGGGTGATGGTCTTGCCAGTGAGGGTCTTGACGAAAATCTGCATCCCACCCCTAAGACGAAGCACAAGGTGTAGGGTAGATTCCTTCTGGATATTGTAATCAGCAAGGGTTCGGCCATCCTCTAGCTGCTTTCCGGCAAAGATCAGCCTCTGTTGATCCGGCGGGATGCCCTCCTTGTCCTGTATCTTAGCCTTCACGTTGTCGATGGTATCAGAACTCTCCACCTCAAGGGTGATGGTCTTGCCTGTGAGGGTTTTGACGAAGATCTGCATCTGTCACCAAATTATAAAATTAAAAAAAAAAAAAACTAAGCAATATTGAACATTAAAAAAAAAATTAAGAACCTCAAAAACAGTCACAAGATCTATCCATATCCTCCATATTCAACAAGACCGATCGTCAATAAAAGGCAAAGCAAAAGAAAATTCATGTTCTTGCACAAAACAGAGGGACAAAAAGAAAGAAACCTTAGAGGGGTAACCCTAAAATTCCAACCCAAGCAACAAACGGGTTAGGGTACCAGGTGAGTTTTGGCAAAAAATTAATAACAAAGATTGTATAACCCGCAAACGGCCCATCCGAAGAAAACCAGATACAAACAACTACTCGCATCCTTAAGCCCGCCAACCCTATTAAAAGTTGTAGAGAGAAATAGAGAGATACCTTTGATGAGTGCTACTCTTTCGCAAGCGAATCTGTATTTTGGTTGATTTGGGAGAGTGGGGATTGGGTTGGCTTTATAGCGCTCTAAGGCCGGACCTCCAGGTTACGAATACTCTCGCTTTAGTTACCACCATGCGAAACAAACTAAGAAAAAGGCGCGCCTTTGAGAGCAGGCGCAGGTAATCCTGAGGATTGCGTGACGGGATTCTAGCTTGCCTTTCGGGACAGGTAATTGCCAGCTGTCAGGATGTCGATGACGAAGCATCGCGGAAATTAGGTATCCGACGAAGAAAGGCATCAAGGCACTACCGCCATCTTCTTTAATTATGATTAAATTCATACTTTGTAAAACTATTTTCTAATTGCAAAATTCTGACGTTTATTTTCGTTTATTTTAAATTAAATATAACTTCAAATTTGATTATATTTATCGCATTTTTTTTTCAAAATATCAATTTTTAACTCATCATGTGACCTTTTAGGCAATATTAAGTGTAAGAATTAATATGCCTGATGGGTTTCACAATTAGTGACCTCGAACATTTATGCTATTGTTAGTGGCTAGCAAGTGTTGATAGGGGAAGTTGATGTGAATTGCATGCATCAACTCTACGAATTATATGACACGTCAATATTAATGTTGGCAGCATATGTAGGCAATAATGTTAAAGATAAGCATTAGCGCTAGCATTGATCAAAAGCACCAATCTTAGTCGAGACATTTGACATTAGTATTAGTATGTGCATCAAAACATTTAGCACGAATCTTGAGGCAAAGCAAAATATGTTGAGATTTTCATACATATTCAACACTGTTTTTGATGATATTGCACTTTAAAGAAGTGTATTTTTGATATTTTGTTGCAAGTATGATTAATTATGGTCATTGGAGCAAAAAGATGCAAAAACAGTGCAATTTGAAGCAAAAACGAGCAAGAAATGAAATTTTGTCATGTTACCTTTCGATAAGTCTTTTGATGCTGAATCTCTTTTACACTCCTTGCATATTTTTGAATGAGATTACACTTTAAAGGAAGGTTGTTTTCATGTTTATTTTGTAGGGTTATCTGTTAGGAACACAACGTAACTGAAATGGGGCGAAACTGAGCTAAAATGGAGTCAAACGGAACGAAACGGTGGAGTTGTGCAGTCTGCTCGCCGACGGCACCAAAACGGCGTCGACGGCGAGATTTACACGAGAAGACCGAAAAATGACAGAAAAGCTCGCTGACGGCGCCCGGGCTGACTATGGACCTAGATGACTATGGACCTACTTTTGGCGGTTATTGGCCAAAATTCAACGTATTTTGACGCTTTTTAAAAAGGTTCTTGTGGCAACTCTTCAAACTTCATCCCTACACTTTAAAAGAACGAATTTATGTTAGAAAAATGGGTTATGTGTGAGAGGAATGTTAGGAAAAGTGTGGAGAAAGTGAATGTGGTTCACTCAACTCCCATAAACTTAAACATCTCCGCTTCAGTACTCAAACAATAGGACCGAATTGGGGATTTTAGTCTGTCACCCAAAATCTTTGATGGGCGTAGAATTGGAGATTTTGGGGTGACAGACTAAAATCCCCAATTCGGTCCTATTGTTTGAGTACTGAAGCGGAGATGTTAGCCCTCAGGTGAAGGGAACGTGGAAGTTCCGAAGTGAGAGCCGGTATCCTCCCAGCTTAGCCACGAATTCAGTAAACAATCAAAGGATTAGTCAATGTTCTTTATATCTGGACCAAAGGGTAAAGAACAGGATTGCTCTTATTTGGCACATGCAATATTTAATGCATCTCATTCATTTACATTATCTAATTCATTAGATAAGAATAGTAGTTTTAAATATCTCAAAATTATCCAAGCTAATTCATCCAAAAAGGGTTATCTTTAGAATTAATATTTGCACTTAGTTATAGTTGCTATCTTTACATTTAACCCTTGCATTTAGGAGTAGTTGTTAGATAAAACATCATTTTAATCGACATTCCAAACTAAGGACTAATTGTAGTAGATTAGAATTTGACTAAGGACCTCTTACCTCGCGGGATCGATAAACGGGACTCCACTAGAGCTCTGTATTACTTACGTATACTTTCGTTTGAAATTGTGACTTTACAAAATCATTATAAAAATATAAATCTGGGTTTATAAATTCTTGCATATTAAAAGTTGCATCAAGTTTTTGACGCGATTGCCGGGGATTTAAATCTTCTAGCATCGATATCAAATTCTTGTATTGTTTTAAGCATATATAAAGTCGCTATCAAATCTCAATGAGATCAAGCGGCTGAAAATGATAATTGGACAAATGAAGTCTTGAATCAAAGAGAATAATTTGAATCGACCCGTCTCGCTCGTGTTTAGCTTGTTTACACTCCTAGCTGGTGAGTGGTGACCAACCGAATGAAGGGCAGGGAGACTCTTCGCACATTGATAGTGTGGGATCTACTCAAATGGTCAGACATCGGGTGGCTTGATGGGGAGCGCTCGCCCGACCGACTGCAGGCATATCCTTTTCTTGGCGGATCCTGAAAACTACATCCCTTGAGAAGCTAAGGATTTCTCATTGGATCCTTATAAGGGGAGGAGCGACCCTGACCGAACATGTGGCTTCTTTTGAATGGTGGTCGGAGTCTTGCAGATCGACGACGCGATGAAGTGTTGACTTCTCCTATTCACACTAAAGGAGTTAGTTCTCTGACGGTTCAATAGCCTGCTAGATGGGATCATTCCATCCTTCTATGAATTTAGAAGACCCTTTTTGGCGCACTTCGACGACGTAGAAAAGCCAAGGAAAGACATTGAGACTTTGCTTCATATTAAGTTGGGGAGAATGAAAGCGTGCGAGCTTACATCACTCGCTTTTAGAAGAAAATGCTTGAGGTAAGAAACCAGGAGCATCTCAACGCTCGAACTGCCCTAAAGTAGGGAATCTGCAACAAATGATTTAGGTATCATTTGAACTTGCTCGGACTAAGATCTTTTATCAAGTTCTAGGAACTAACGATCACATCGATGTCGGGGAAGACCATATGGACTACTTGGAAATCCAACCAAAATCATTTGAGTGTCGGTTACAGAAAATGAAAAGCTAAGGGTCTGTTCGGGGCAACTGCAACTTATTGAATAATCTGTTGATAAGCTGATTAAAAATAATCTGCCGATAAGCTAGGTGCGGTGGCTACTTAAAATTTTTATTTTTTTTTTAAGTCAGACTGTAACCAGAAAGCTGACACTGCACCTAGACATGTGCGGGGTAAAAATGTTATTTTTAGCGTTTTGAAAAAGCATACGTTATAAAAAATCAGTTTAACAAACAGGTCAGGTGCATTTTCAAAATGCCACCGCACCAAATAAGCTGCCCCAAACGGACCCTAAGCGACGGGAAAAAACTGAAGGGTGATCAGGTCCCCAACAGTCGGTCGGGCGACAACCCTCAGTCATGTGATAATCGAGGGAGTAATTGGGACAATAAGAGTCGTCCTAATACTATGAGCGACCACAATTACATCGAGAGATGTAGGATTGGACATCCTTGAAGGTGTCAATGGTCGAGCTAGTCCAAACCATTCAAAATAAGTACTTTTTTCAAGAAGACCCCTCGTAGAAAATCCCTCTAGAGTCCGAACAAGTGTTTTTCCTACCACCGAGACCATGGACACAACAGAGAGGAGTGTCCTCGTCATTGTCAGATGACCAATGCAGTGATAGGTGAAGGCCTTAACGGAGGAGTCCACAGATGGACCCATCGACCAATCAAGATCTACTTGCGGGGTTCATTCCATATCAACTTCATTGCTCTAGAGTCCAAAACTTGGGAGGAACTGTTGCTATATCTCGGAGTTGAACGAGAGCTCGTCAGCTTGGAGCTGGTCAGGGAAGACGCGGGGAAGCAATTTCCAGTGTTTTACACCAGTAGGGTACTCCGGGGCGTCAAAACCAGGTACCCAACTATGTAAAAAATTAATGTTTGCATTAATTATTTTCTTCTTTAGGCTCTCACCATATTTTTAAAAGCGGTTGATCAGGGTTGTCACAGATCACCCGTTGAAATCTACACTCACTCAACTGAAACATTCTGATCGACTGTTAAAATGGATAATGGAACTTAACAAATACGACATCAAGTATGTTCATCAGATGACTATCAAAGAGTAGACAATCATTGATTTCTTAGCGGACTTCTTTGAAGCTAGAGAGCAAGAGAGAAAGATGAGAAAACCTTATGAGCGATAGGACGTGGATTATACACGTCGATGGAGCTTCTAAGCAGGCAACCACAATGTTGGGATTGGCACCAAGCAACCCAACCAAAGAACACATCTGTCAATCAATTTCAGTAGCTTTTGAGGTCACGAACAACCAAATAAAATACGAGGCACTGATCACTAGCCTTTGCTTGGCCTATTAAATAGGTGCTCGGGATCTGCTGGTAAAGTCAGACTCTCTGCTAGTAGTTCACTAATTTTATGGAGAGTTTAAGGTCTGAGATGAGCTAGTTGCTAAGCACCTTACCAAGATAAGAAAAAAATCAAGAGATTCAAGAACTTCCTAATATAACATGTTGTTCATGAGGAAAACTACGTCGATAATATACTGCACAAAGACATCAGTTATTGTGAGACTCCACTGAGACTCATGAGACCAAAGATTGAGGAACCTGAGGTAATGGAGGTCTCAGTCAAAGGAATGAAAAGTTGGATTGCTTTGTACATCCCTTGATTAGAAACCGAAAAGGGTGCAAAAGGAAGTTAAAGACCTAAGCCATTTTAAGATCAAAGGTGTGCTATAATTGATGATTGAGGGAAAACTCTTCGAGGAATGGTAATCTCGATATACCTGAGGTGTTTACAGGAAGACAAAGCGCTACATTTCTCAAAGAGGTGCTCTTGGGAGAATGTGGGGGTCACTCTAGAGGAAAGGCTCTAGCTTAGCAAGTACAACGACAAGGCTACTTTTAGCAACACTTCTCAAGGATGTTGAAGAGTTCTTCAAGGAATGCGAAGGTGTCAGAAGTATGTGCCTCTGCATAGTCGGTCGGCTTGCAGGCTTCAGCCAAATCAGGGTGCGTTTGAGGTGGGCGGTGTAATGCCGCACTGTAATTTTTTCTATTTCACAAAAAAAATCTTCTATTGAGGCGACGGTAAGGAGTTTCCGATGACGTCACAAACTCTGATGAAGGTCCTTCTCCCAAGAAAGATGAAACTCTTCTAAAAATTGAGATTCTTGCAAGGCTTCAAGCAAGAAGCCTTCTCTTCTATTTGTTTTTACCGACAAAATGGTAGTCAGGAAAGAAGAAGATTTAGGAGAAGTGGAGAAAATGATGGATAATAAGAGGGTGTAGAAGAAGAAGAAGAAGAAGAAAAACAATGAAGTAAGAAGAACAATCCAAATCCTCAAACTTCTCCCCAAAAACTCTACTCCAGCAGCAAACCAGCTTCCAAGCTCTCCTTCTCTCCAAGAAAACCTCAAATGACCTCCTCCTCCCCTCAATGGTTGGCTCTTCCAATTATCCTTAGCAAAAGGGTTTCATCTCTTGGATAATCGGGAAGAAGTAATAACTCATCCCATATGAGAACATTCTTGTTGAACACAAGTGCAAAAAATGGCCTAAAACTGGTACATGGACAAATTTTGGTGGTTGGGTGGCGTTTCACCTGAAAAATAGGAACCGCCTCGCAAAATGCATTCTTGCAATGTGTCATGGTTACAACATAGTAACTCTGCTCTATAGGTGTCACGAATGGACTAGCGGCGTGGGAACACTGCCCTATATGCGTTATGAACAGCATAGCCACGTGACCATGCCCGAAGGGGGGTATAATTACGCCACTTACTCTATTTTGTTGGCATGACTACGCTAGCCTCAGGCATGGTTGCACTGCGAGACTCATATTAAATAAGGGACGACCTAGCATGGCCACGCCAAAAATTTGCATGCCCACGTTACAAGACATGCATGTCTACGCCCAATTTAGGCATTGTCACGTCGGGCCTAATTGAGCTGGGACTCCTGTTCGAGCGGTCTTACATCACACTTGAACCTGAGAAAACCCATTATAAGTGAAAACAACATTTCAGACTCATCTGCGCTATTTGCTTCACAATCGGAGGTCATCTGAACGACTTTTTGTCGATGAGTAAGCATAATTACAGCCCGATTTGCTTGTAGTGTGCCCAACGAAATTCCTCAGCTTGATCGAAACCTTTCAACATATGTATTGTTGATCAAACTTCGCCTTATTGAAAACCATACCCCGGTAAAGCACTTTTAACCATGTGTCGGAGGCTTGAAATCAAATGTTTTGAGCCCTGGGAAGTTGTGCTCTCGTGAAGCATACTCCCTAGTCGTTCAAGAGACACCCTACGCTCATGACATCAAAAGATGATACCAACATAATAATATATTTATGTTAACTTTAAGACCTCATGTTCTTTTTAAATTTTATCTTTATATTACTGTTATTCTTGGTATTTATTTTTGTTTATTTGCATATACTTCATTGTAACATAAATAGAAGCAATTTTTGTTTATTAAACTATGATTTGTCTTAAAATATAAGTTTAAAGGCTTCTAATGCCTCTGGTGTCAGATATTGCAACTATTGTGTATTTACATCGCGTCACAAAACCTATCACCAGAGAAAATTCTATAAGTGCCTCAAAAGAGGATCAATAAAGGGAAAATATTTGCGTACATAAGACGTACGCAGCGCTGCGTGCGTCCAGAGGTTATTTAAGGGGTACATGGGGGTTATATCGGCGTGTAACCTCCATGTAACCTCCCTGTAACCTACAAATGAGTTCCGCGCTTCTGTAGTTTCATGAGAACAAATAAGTTACACGGATGTTACATGAGAGTTACACGGAGGTTACAAGGGGGTATAACCCGAATGTAACCCCCCTGTACCCCCTGAATAACCCCTGATATACACAGCGCTGCGTACGTCTTATGTACACAAATATTTTCCTCAATAGAGGACTATGACTTCTTTAGATGGGCTGTTGAGTTTGACGAGTATACTTCAAACAATAACTATACGTGGAGAGTAGCTTTTAAAAAGTTTTTCAATTGACTAGACCTGTTGAATTCTAAAAGTAATATTTGAATAATATTACTTGTTGCTCTTATAATTTAAATATTTTGGATTCTCCGTGTCATGTGATGTATGTCTTATAATTAAATATTTTGGACTTGTGACTTTTTTAAATTTTTTATGTTTTATTTATGTTATTATGTGTGCGTTAATTTTGAAATGATTAGCATAAATATCTTATTATTATGTAAATTTTAGAAATAATTGTAGCACAATTGAATTAATCAAACATACACATAACTTCACTCACAATCACTTCCTCGCAATAGCTTCTTCTGTAGTTAATATGCAGCTGTTTATTCAAATAATTACGACGACCTAAGCAGACTGTAAAATGTCATTTAATCTCCTTTCAAAACATCTATTTTTCTCTATCTAATATTATTGTGCGCAAAGTTAACCATAAAACATTATAACAATCATAAAGCAATGCATTATGTTATCCCCGACAACAAGCAAAACTAACAAGTCAACTAATCATCCAAAAAAAAAATCTCAATTTAATATAATTTTATTTAATGAATAATTTCAATTTAAAAGTAACAAAAAACTTAAAATCGCACGCTTAAAATCGACATTGCCTGTTTTGAAAAAATATTAGATCGGTACTACGCACGTCCAATGAAATCACGCCACGACATTCCACGCGACAGGGAAAAAAAACGGCGCAGTAACATGAGGAATATTCCGCCTGTGTTATTCATGTGTTATTGCGTGTTATTCATGTGTTATTGTATTATTATAATACCAAAAATATTCTCAAGACACAATAACACATGAATAACATATAATAATACTTGAATAACACGGGAAATATTCCCGACAGAGAAAAAAACGGCGCATTAACACAGAGTAATATTCTATCCCGTGTTATTCATGTGTTATTGTGTGTTATTCATGTATTATTGATATATTATTGTATTATTATAATACCAAAAATATTCTAAGAATAAAATGAACAACACAAGCATTTTTTTTTTCCGCTGTCGCGGGGGTTCTAGCGACGTGATTTCATCTATACTGATGTAATAGCTTCAACTGCAGCTCATCAAACCCTCGACGGCGAAGAGAGTGAGACGCGACTGAGCTCGCACAGAAGCATCGATGGGACCGGCGGCTAGTGGCGAAATGGAGTTCGCGAGACTTGCGGATTTACGCTAACTGCCGAGTGCTCAGCTTCGTTCCTGCACCGATGGTGGAGATGATGACGGCGAAGATAAAGAAGAGTTAAAACCCGGAAGTCACGACGAGAGCTCGACGGTAATGGTGAAACTTCGAATTTAACTAAGATTGCCATTTTTTTAGTCTTTTGAACCAGCTAAAGCACCCCTTCATTATTTCACAAAATCCGTTTTGTTTCCCCATTTGTTGTTAAATGATCCAAAGTTGCTGGTACCTGGTTGAAGAAATGCTCCTGAGTGATCCCTTGTAAAGAACGGAAATCGAACTGCAGAACTTATATTTTAACTTCAATTATTTCTCAAAGAACCCGTTCCCCCTTCATTGTCAAGATCTGGCACCTCTCGATGAAATGCTCCATACGATGATCCCGAGTAAAAAACATGCCCGCCCTCTAACCTCAATCAATCAAATCAACAGTTTGAATTATATTTGATCTTTTTTGGTGGTATTTAACTAATATTATCCATCTGATGACTATTTCGATGAAGACACAGGCTAGATTCTGCGGGAGAGACAGCCATCCTGTTGCCTAAATGCACATACGCATGCCTCCGCCACCACGCCTCCTTCTCAACAATGTCTCATGCATGCGTAACGCTCAGACTATCCTCCGGAATATCAATGTTACAGTCCATGATGGCTCTGCATTAGTTTTGACTGGCGCTAACGGCTCCGGAAAAACTACCTTCCTTAGATTGCTAGCGGGATTCTCCCGCCCCTCTGCTGGAGAAATCCTCTGGAACGGCCATGACATCACTTCTCCTGGAGTCTACCAACAGTACAAACTCCAACTCAACTGGCTTTCCCTCAAGGACGCCATTAAACCCAAGTTCACTGTCTTGGAAAATGTTCAGTGGTATGAAGTACTTGAAGGCAAAGATGGAACTGCATCTCTTCCAGCTCTCGAGCTCATGGGACTTGGCAGGCTGGCTAATGAGTTGCCGAGAATGCTCTCTATGGGCCAGCGAAAGCGGCTGCAGTTGGCTCGGATGCTGGCTATTGGCAAGCCTGTGTGGTTAATGGATGAGCCTTCGGTCACTTTGGATGCAGAAGGGGTCCGGCTGCTCGAATACATAATAGGGGAGCATCGTAGAGAAGGCGGAATAGTTTTTGTGGCGACTCATACGCCTATTGAGATCGAAGATGCCATGCATCTCAGGCTCCCTGAAAGGTTTCCTCGAAGGAAAACATTGGTTGATCTTCTTGACTGAGGTAAATATCTCACTGAATGAATAAAGTTCACTGATAAATTTTCCTTCTCCATTGATGCAAATAATAGCAAGCTGAAATAGCGAGCATTGCCTGTATTTGAAACATGATTTGTTCTGAATCCAAAAGTCCTGAATCTAAATGATCTGTTTTGCTTGTTGGACATGGGCTGTACACTTTCAGAATTCGAATTAAGGGGTGAAATGCACTTGACATATGTGACACATTTTAACTATTTTTTTTGGGTTCAACGTTCTAGTTTCTATTCTTGTTTAGGCCTCCTGATAATTCTTATTAGCCTACTATTCTCAAATCGCATTTAGTACACTTGATTTAACTTTAAAGTTTAATTGAGTTTTTTTTCTTCTTTGGTTAATTTGAAGTTTTTTCTTGGAAGTATATGATATTGTAATTATTTTTGTGATATTTTTATTTGAAATCCTATTATCAGGTATTCTAATTGCATATTTTATGCTATGATGTATTCATAAAATTGTTGTCTTTTTTTTTTTACAGTTACGTCATGTCATCTTGCGTCGTTTGTATTGTGTAGTGTTCGTGTGCTGTGTTAGTCTTCATGTTTTATAGATGTAGACATTTATAGAGCAGCTCATATATCAATATGATAATAATTCTATGCCATTCAACTCAATAGAATAATCACAACAGTATATTCCTACCAAAAGAGGCCTTAATCAAAACTCATCAACTTTGATTATAAGGCAACCCAAAATCCTACTTAGGCAATGCCAAACTAAGCATGGAAAATATGATTCTGTTCTATAAAATCATGAATTTTGAATTTTCTAACATAAAAGTTGATAGCTATTTATATAAAATAGATGCATGTGGGTCTTTGGCACCCCAAAATCTTCTGAAAAAACTCTAGGAACGCTCACTTAACGTTATATCCCGAATCATCATTAATCCTTTGCTTTAATCTTTGTATCCTGAGCCATCAAGGCAATGTAATTAAAATTGATTAACCAACAATTTTTTAAGCAAACATCAAACATTCCAAAAATATTAAATTACAAAAAACTCCATAAACTAAAAAACACTTCGATTGGAACTTTTTATGACTGTTGCAATTAGTTTCATGAATCTTAGTTGGAGAAAGGGCAGTGAAAGGCTACTGTTCAGAGATAAATATAGCATCATTCTTATTTCTTCAATTCTTTGACTTATTTCCATGCATTATAATAATCTGATCAAGTTGTCAAACATAAGCTTGAATTGGATCAACCTAAATTCAACCCAACCTTATAAATCTATCAGAGAAACCTAAGTTTCATGTAATTATGCGGCGCAGGAAACCCATAGTGCTCCTTTCAATTTACATTATAGGTTGGCGCACATTTCACAAAATTTCCTATTATTTTGCAAAATGAGGAAAATTGATGTTCTAAGGTTAAAGTTTCAATCTTTATTGTAGAGTGAACCTCTATTCATCGACTCATTGAAATCTAACTACCGCCAAACCCTATAACTGACTATGTTTTTATTGGTGCAGCACAAGAGTGAAGGACTTCTCCTAAAAGAATAACCAGGTCTAAAAGCAAAAATGCTTAATGGACTGTTGAAAAAGCTGCTGTAAACGATTACAGGGTCCTATCTCACTACTAAGGTTAATTGCTAAGGCTAATTACTATTCATAAACAACACAATAAAGCAACTACTAATATAAAATATGGCAAAACAGTAAAAACAAAACAATATTGTAGGGTTATAGTGATCTGCTCTCAGGTATTTGCGGCAGTTACTCTCCACTTCAGAAGAACTTGAATCGAGCTCAAAAATGTAAATAAAACCTTCATATGGTGGGTGGTAGGCATAAATGTCATATAAATTGAATGTTGAAGAGATGTTGAGTTTCAATGGCAATTGAATAACATAAGTGTTATCATTTATTTTAGCAGAAATAGGAAGTGGTCCATATTTTTTGGGTTTTGATTTGAATAAGTATTGGTAGGAAATTGTTCTTTGCAAAGGTATATCATAAAAATGTCTCCCACTTTGAATTCATTATGTCTCCTATGCTGATAGACTGTCTATTTATACTTTTCTGCGCTAATTGTGAGTTTATTTTGGATGTCTTATAGCATGGTAGAGAAATCAACAAGCAGCCTCTTAGCAACCAAGCTAGTTGGTTTAGGAAGAACCACTAAGTCAAAAATGTGATTGGATGAATTTGTGCAAACAATACTGAACAGTGTGTTGCCCGTAGATCAGTCATCATAGAATTGTAGGCAAACTCTTTTGGGCTTGGCACTTTGTCCCATGTAATAGGTGGCTCTCCACCAAACATCTGATCATATTTTTCAAAGTTCTGTAGTTGACTTCTGTTTGACTGTCTATTTTCAGGTGATATGTAGAATGAAGTTTAAGTTTTGTCTGAAATTGTTTTCACAATTCACGCTAGAAGTGGCTTACAAATTTGACATCCCAATTTGAAGTTAAACTCCTAGGTATGTTGTGCAATGAGATAATTTTCCTTAAGAAAATTCAATCTACATTAAGAGCGTCAGATGTTTTCTTACATGCAATGAAATGTGCCATTTTGAATAAATCTGCTCACCTCAACCATAACTGAGGGTCTGTTTGGGACAATTTTTTAAATTTTTTTTGTATTTTAGATCGCCACCACAGTTTTGTTTGGGGAACTGTTTTTTTTGCTACTTTTTAGAAATTTATGTGATGGGAAACTTCTTTTTTTTAGCCCGACCTATTAAAATGCAGTGGCTGTAAGAAAGATGCTATCTTAATTTTTTTGGAGAAAAATATATCTTTATGATTATCTCCATAGTTTTCTAATAAGTTGTTTTCTCCACCACAGCCTTACAACTACATTTTTTTTTTAAGCTGCAATCACCCTAAACAGATCTTGCATCAACACCACACTTTGTTTTGGGCAATCCCTAAATAAAATCAAGGCTCAAAATTTTCCAAATTGTGTGTGGTATAGGTAATGGCATATATAAACCCGTTTTCTGAGGACTCCTCTTGGAGTTTTGACAGGTATGAAATTTTTTGACAATTCTAATTACATCACATTGCAATTTGAGCCAAAAGAAACAAGCTTGCAACGATTGCAACAAAGCCAAAGTTTAGTCCGCCCGGGGTGAGCTTGACAGGCCCCCACATTGTAATTCCTGAACGAGTTAAGCTCGCAAAGACGTGTTTGGAACTTAAAGTTGATTGAATTTGAACAAATAACCTTGTTTCATGGGATAATCAGAAATAGGCTGGTTTGTTTTACATCGATTCCAAAATTCAACAAATTCTGAGTCTTCCTATATAATTCTTTGATGGACTGCATACTTATTATGTTGTCTTTAAAGAGCTTAGAAGGCTGGCTTGTCTTTAAAGAGCTTAGAAGGTTGGCTATCTTTTTAGTGGTGCCTGATTTGTGTTTCAACATAAAACTAAATTTTTGCAGAAACACTACCCACCTTATATGCATTCGGTTCAGATTTTTCTGAGTTTGCAAGATGTAAGAGTTTTGGTCACTAAACAATACAAATTCTTGATGGAGGAGATAATGTTCCCAATGCTTTAAAGTTCTCACACATATAATTCTTGTTCGTAGTTTTACCATCTTTGACGAGCTGAACTAAGCTTTTCTCTATAGAACTTGGTAGGTTTATACTCTCGGGAAAGTACTGCTCCAATTCCTGTGGAGGAAGCATGAACCTCGACTTGGAACGGTATGGTAAAATCTGGAATACTGAGTACGGGAGCTGAACAGAATTTGGCTTTACTTGTTTCAAAACTTTTTATGCTGATTGGCATCCCAATTGAACATTTTTTGTTATAGAGCATCAATAATTGCCCCATAATTTCACTAAAATATCTTATAAAACTACGGTAAAAGTTGGCGAGGCCATGAAAATTTCTTATTTTCATAAGGGTTGTATGCATGGCCAAGGTTGGATAGCTTCAATCTTCGGTGTGTCTGTTTGGACACCTTGCTCTTTGATAAGGTACCCAAGAAAATGAATCTTTGAACTTGCAAATTCGCATTTTGCTTTATTAAGATACAAGTTCTTTTTTAAGGCCAACATAACATCGTTAAGGTGTTTCAAATGATCATTAGAGTTTCACTATAAATTAAGTTGTCATCAAAATAGGCCATACAACACGTATCTTGGAATAGTTTAAGTACTTCACTAATTAGTCTCATAAATTTACCGGGTGTGTTGCAATGGTCAAAACGCATAGCACGCCACTCATACAAACCTTAGTTTTGGAGACCATCTTCTATTCATCTTTTAGATGAATCCACACTTGAAGTTACCCGCTCCTTAAGGGTATGTTTGGGGCAACTATAACTTATTAAAAAGCTACTGCGAAGTAATTATGCTAGGAAGCTGTTGCGCAGAACTACTGCGGAGAAACTGACTATCTGTTTGTTTTTTTTAGTTTTAAAACAGCTGTGCTGTAGGCTATTTATGAACAAATGATATTTTTGTCTCAGTACTATAATGTTGTTTATAACAAAACCAAACCTGTTAGCACATTTCATACTTGAAAACAAATATACAGTTTGAACATTGCAAAATAAAAACAGACACATCACTATACAGTAACACAACAATCAAATTAAAAAATATATATATTAAAATAACAACTAATGATATGATAATATTATTTTTAAAATGCACTTGGTTAATGCCACGAGATAATCCGTCCACTATAGAAACTCTACGTTTAATCACTATCGGCGGTGGAATCCCCCAACTCTTCTGCCCACTTAAAGAAGTCATAATTTTTTGTTCTTCTTATTGGACATCTTTAAAACTGTCTCCCGAAGCTATGTGACTGTTGCGAAATATGCAGAGAACATTGTAGTTCACAGTAGTTGTACAATGCTCTGAAGGTATCAGATGTCATCGAGTTCATCTTTTTTGAAGGTTTAAAACAACAAAATACAAATCATTCAATGAAACATTAGTGAAAAAGAATAATAGAATTAATCAATTCAAGTTTTATGAAACTGTGAG